ATAAGTYATGAAAATATGAAACACGCAAAAGTAATTAATGTACATTAAACCTATTACAGAGCGGGGCCACGGCCACTTTTTAAAAAAAATTTTGTCCAAGGATGCCCCTTACTACTGCAAACATTTGTGTCAAATTACAGTTCTATATCTCAATTTAGTGCAATAGTTATGACACTTTTTACGTTTTCGGTTAATAGCGTTTTGTGGTCCGATTGAGCYCATCTGCGAACTCGTAATTTTCTTTTTGCCAAGGAACGCGCACAACAAATTTCATTAAGATATCTCAACTTTTATTACGAGATGCAGACGGACGCATGGACAGACAAACATTCACTCGGATTTCAACTCATATCGTCATCATTATAATTTATTATATATGCATATATATATATATACAGTTGCGAGCATTGAAATAGTAGTGCCTATWGGCAAAGAGAGTTCTGCTTTAAATTTTGTTTCTTTTATGATATTGCCGTCGATCATTATTTATATTCTCTGAAGTATAACGCTCCTGTTATATACAACAATAAGTGTGAATTACTTACCGCTACTTTTTTAAAGCCAATTTTATTGGGATATCTGTTTTTATGAGCGAGTTATAGAATAGTAGTGAACGATAACAGATAATTTTTAATAAAAAAAAATTTCATTTTATCAAACAAAAAGTAAGTTTCCAGATCTTTTATTAATTACTCTGTCTTTTATTAATATCTGTCATAAACAACGGTAAATCCTACAAGGAAGTGGAAAGAATTTTAGGGTGTTAAGCCACAACGACTCACAATGCAATTATTTATAAAAAAAAGACGATAAAAGGGGCATAGAATACATATCGACATAGAATGTCATATGGAGATTCGGAATGAACTGAACCTGGCCTACGGTTTTCAGTGAGAAGACTTCTACATGAACATAATTTATATGTCCGCAGTCCTCGATAAGTACCGTTATTAAAAAAAATCATATAGGAAGTCGTCTTAAATTTGCCAAAGGACCGATTGGGAAATGGCGCAACATCTTTTAGACAGACGTGTCGAAAGTTATTCTATACGGTGGTAAAGGGTCCCGTCAGTAACTAAAAGACGCTCCCCTAATAGAGAGTACGACCCCAGATTCAGCACAAAAACTATGAAGCTTGGCGGTTTGAATTTCATGKTTTGGGCTGTTTTTCTTACAGGCCCAATTATTTTGTGTAGTCCCAATTCACAAGATTACTAGCATAACGGACCGACACAAATTCGTGGATATAATGCAGTATATTATGATACCATTTGCTGAAGAGAATATCCCAGTAGGGTGGCAAAGGAGTGGTTTCGGGTCAAAGGAATTGATGTCATGGATAGGTCAGCTCAATCGCCTGGCCTCTACCYTATTGAAAACCATTGGGCGTCAAGAAAACCGTGTGGAAGGATAAACCCAAAAACAACAACGAGTTGTGGACCGTAGTGCAGCAATCATGACAGAGYATACCACCGGAAATATGCCACAGTCTCGTAGATTATCTGAAGAAGCGATGAAATGCAGTTATCAAAAACCATGATCATGCTACCAAGTACTAAGATCTCCTATAGACAAAACTAGCAAAAATCTTTACGAATTTTTTTTTTTTTTTTGTTTTTTAGTACTTTACTACTATTTTACTGCTCCCAACAAGTTTAATACATAAACAAAGCTTTGTAAATAAACATATCTTGTACATATTCAAATCTAAATATTTTTAGTAATAAACATAGCCTGAAAAATATGATCCACTTTTGCATTTCAATGGATGTTAAAATTGTTTGGCATTTTACATAACTCACAAATATGTAAAGCTCTAACACCCACTACTATTTCACTGCTCGCAGCTGTATATTAGGTTACGTTGTCAAAAAAAGTCTTGCGGTATTGGCGCTGAGAGCGCGTAGTTCTAGTTTTATTCGTCGCATCGGGTCATGCTATACCTTCWTGGAAAGCTCATTTCACGCGCTACGACGTGTTTGATTGATTGTCGTTTYTTTTAAGTCATTCGTGAGTTATAGCGTCGCAAACATGGAGCAAAATAAAGAGAAAATACGCCATATATTACAGTACTACTACGAAAAAGGCAAAAATGCATCTCAAGCCGCCAATAAAATTTKTGCAGTTTATGGACCCGACGTTCAACGTTTTCGTTCTGGTGTAGAGGTGGTCRAAGATGCGCCACGCTCCGGAAGGCTTGTCGTAGAAAATTGCGATAAAATCGCTGAATTGGTCGAAAGAGACCGGCATAGTAACAGCCGTAGCATCGGTCAAGAGCTGGGCATGAGTCATCAAACCGTTATAAAATAAAAACRAAAAAWAAATACAAAAAATACCGCAAGACTTTTTATTATATTTTATATATATTATATCGCTTAATTTTAGATTATACGTTCAACCGTTAGGTAAACAACACATTGCTTGTTGCAGCATTACATCCTGCAAGAGTATAAATATTGATTACCCTTTGTTAATTATTATTATGTCTCAAAATAATATAAGATGTATTAAATTTTTCTGGGAATTACTTGTGACATGTTAATAATAATTTTTAAAGAAAATTACGTATTTCCACGGAATCCAATTCTATAATAATTGGCGAAATAAATTTGAAATATAAATATTAGAAATGGGGAATGTCTGTATTGGCGTGTTTTGAATTAAAGCACGCACGATTGTTACGTAAACCCCTTATTCAGTGGAAGAACTCAAAACCAAACAGTATATGATTTCATCCACAAAATTATTTAAGTGTAGGTACTTTGAGTTTCACGATTCCTTAAAAAAAAATAATATATATATATATAACGGGTGATATAAGTGGAGGTACTTTTTCAATAGATTTTTTTGACAGATCCCGAGTTTGTCGTGTCAAGCTGTCATGTTATTTTTGTTCACTATTRTTTGACATTTCATTATGGAAACACTTATGACTGATCCAAGAAGATCCGACGTTTACGGACCGAATTTTGTTCAGCGATGAGGCMMATTTCTGGCTTATGGCTATCTAAACAAGTAAAATTTCCCATTTGGGATGAAGACCAACCTAAAGATATTTAAKACCTGAATCCAGAAAACAACAACAGYTTAGTGTGGTTTGTGGGCCGGTGGAATCATCGGCCCATATTTCTTCAAAAATGATGCCGTAAGAACGTCAATGGGGACCGTGACCGCGCCATGATAGCCGACTATTTGATGCCTGAAATGGAAGCTGGTGTATAAGAATTGATTGAAGGGTTGGAATCCCAACCCCCTTCACCTCAAAAATATATAAATATGTGAAAGTAATATTTGGTTTTCATTCAGGATRAAAACGATTTCAACGAAATGTCATAATCTTCACAATAACTCGTTTATACTAAACACACAACTCTATTATTTTACACTATTCAAAGGTGATGTAAAAGAGAATATGTTCGTATGGAACGAAAGTGATTACAAAATGTTAATACTGTATTCAAGCCCTTTTGTAGCCTAAAATATATAAATCCAATATTTGGTACCTTCCTTGAAGTTACTTTGTGCTAGAAAAGTGTAACATAGAAAAATGAAATAAAGAAAACGAAAGAGTAAACACGATAAGAATTTAAGTGGATTATGACGACAATTCGAAATTGATAAGACGATAAAAATATATATAAACATATACATTACGTATCGGTATATGTATACGAGAACGTGAGGTATATAATACAATGAAAAAGGTGTATAAACCCGATTACATACAAACAAGTAGGCATGCAAAAGTTTGGACTGTGATACTCTTATTTTTTATTATTAAAATTTTGTAAATTAGCACATTCCGGACATTTGAATACTGAAGCAAGGCTGAAATATGAACATATGTTTATGTGTATAACCATACCATATGTTTTGCTATGGTAAATGGTTATTATTCGTTCGGAATGACCTTTATTCAGTTACTAATCAAGGATAAAAAACATGTTCATTTTCTACGAAGTACTCTGTAAAAAGGCCTGCAAGTTACACTGATGATAATTCATTGCATGTTTTTMAAGAAGCTTCGTTGTGCCTTTTGTTGTTTTTATTAGTTATTATGCCATTTACGTGAACTCTTAAAGTTTTAATTGCAGGCAGCTTCAACTTGGAGAAAAAAATCATAAAAAAGTTGTTGCAGAGCTCTATGAGTATTCCGGGCCCGAGTGGAATTATGTAATATTCAGACACTTTACTGAAAACAAAATCTTTAATTTATCTCAAGCTTTACATTATTTTGTGTTTATAGCTTTTTAAATATGAAGACGAAAGCTTTTCCCATAGCTGAGACACATTGCCTGTAAAACAACAAGCGATAATAAAAAATACATATTATAGATCTTTTAAAGCCGCTATAATCTCCGAATAAGTTGTGCACACATCGCATTACTCTAGCATAGTGTAGCTATTCAAACTGGCTGTTCAAAATCTAGATAACATTTTTTTCGTTATTAAGTAACCTAAATTGAACCTGAATATCTAACATCGTAGTACGTAATAGCAATTTTTTTCCGCGAGATGTAAACCCTATTGGTCGGTTACGTTTTCAGATCCATTTKTTCTCTTCATATACCTATAAGAAATGCACCCGTAAAGGGTATTATAGCTTCCGTACACCCAAAGTTAACGTTTTTCCTTGTTTTGGATATGACTTGTCTAGTTTTGAATCCATTTTAATCCATAAGAACAATTAATAAATTGCAATAAATAAAATTACTGCAGACTATTTTTAAGACTTTAACTTTTCTCGATTTCCTATCCTCTTCAAACGTATATGCTGCTTCTTCAGCATTATTATGTAAGTCCTTGCAACACTTGAGCATAACGTTCTTCTTTTAAGGCGAAATAGTGCGCGCATTTGTCTCTTTGCGAAACTTTCATTAAACTTCTTACTTTCAATTTTTATCATTTTCACCGTTGTTCTTCTTCTCATATATTATTACAAATCAACTTGAACTTTTTGCGAGACACTATGAAGCACTTGTAAGGAAAGGACAACTCACCCGCTAAACCCGCGTCGTTTGGTCGATGAAGTCAAGGGGTCCGGTTTGCCACGATTATTACCTTAAAGAGAAGCAGAAAAAACATTTAAGAAATTAATACTTCATAGAATTTTCTTAATTATATAAAAGTYAAACGCTCACTTTGTTCCTGCATGACATCGTTTGTTTCCTTCCGCGCTGAACTGTTCTTCTGTGCGCTTGGCGATGGTTTAAGTATTGAAACGGGCACCAGTCCTTCCTGTACGGCTGCATCGTCACTTTGTGGATTTAGGCGCACTAAACAAAAATCTGGCTCGGCGGCTGAGGGTGCTTCCACCACCTCAACCTGTTGCCCTTTGGACACACTCAACTCGTTGGAGCCGGGCGTTGCTATGTAATCGGCGACCACCCAAGTACCCTCGTGGCTGCCAATCTGGAAAAAGCAACAAAAACAAAAATAAGAAACATGAAAAAGGATAACTTAATTGAATATAAAAAATAAGAAGACAGACTACAATGAAAGGCGGCAATGGCAACAGCTTGGCAAAAAAGAATCAATAAATGTTGGCACATCGTACCTACATGGCTAGTTAACATGGTTTGTAGCGGACCACAGGCATGGGGGAAGTGGCAAACATTCTAGCCAAAGGCATATCAAGTCGGCAATGAAGCATATTAAATAAACAGAGACATGAATAGGTAAGGACTGGTAAGGTAAACGAATGACTACACTCTAGTTGTCAAGCAGAAAGGCTGGAGCAGAAGTTCGGGATTCCAGTGTTGCGAAAACTTGGTAAGAGAAAAGTAAGAGTGTGAGGTAGGGATATACTATAAGCCCACATATTTTTGCAAGAGTTCACATAATAATTTCTTTATAAATCCTTACTAGAAATGAGTTTAGCTGAAGATTATATGGAGAAGGGTTGTTCAAATGCAATTATTTAATATTGGCAACCGTATGTAAATAATTTCATCTATGAATTACTTAGTTATASAAATTTCGACTACAGTATTACTCAAATAATAAATATATGTTTTTTGTTAATATGTTTTGATCTTAACGCCAAAATAAAGGCTAATTTTTATTTTTCCTGTTCTTCAAAAATTCGAATAATTTTTTTATGGATATTGAATACAAAAATATATATGAAAAATATGATCCGAAAATTTTAAAATGATTGGGGAAATAGTTTCGGTGTTGTGATTAAGCCCTTAAACATTTTATAAATACTTTTTCATTAAAAATTTAATGGTAAAAATTATGGTAGCGCTTGAAAATGGGGGAAAATATATATCT